GATAATAATAATCTTGTATATTTCTATAGAAAATATTTCTAATAATATTTAGAAAATATTATAGATATTTTCTATACACAAAATGATATTAATGGAACACAAAAGAATTTTCTCTCACTAGATTTCAAAGTGGCCGAAACTATTTCTCAAAAATGAACCACCCCTAAAATTGTGAATGGAGTAAAGTATTTAAATAAAACAAAGATGTTAAATTAACTTTTGTCATTAGCTAAATGACAAAACCATTAGTCCACTAATTTATCAATCAAGGAAATGTTGAAATCAATTCAATGATTCCAAATCCTCCCTTAGCCGTAAGTGTAGATTGTGAGAAGGATTTGTGAAATTCTTCTCCACTTAAATGTTCAAAGTGTATTTTATTTGACACCAAAAATTAATATAAAATTAATTTTAAATCAAATAAAATATCAGTATCATTTTTAAACAAGTATACAAATATACTTTAAATAGTTTATGTCAAATTAATTGTTTTCATAATTAAAATGACAAATCAAAATAAAATATTCAACATATAATATTTTTTTAAATATGTTTTATTAATGAAGAAAAGAGAATACAAATACAATCAGGATAGGAACGAAAATAACTAAAGTGAGAAATGTCTTCCAGTCCTCCAGAAATCGTTGAGACCCCAGCCATTGAAGTCAGCATCATAACACATGCATTTTTTGTTCCTATTGACCCAGCACCAGCCTTGAAGGAGTTTGAAACAATGATGAATAATCCCCTTCCTTGTAGTATTTTTCCCTTCGAAGATAGCAAGATTTCCGGCTTTCCAAATGCACCATGGGATGATGCCTGGTAAGATGAGCCTAGCACACCCCTTGAAACTCTTAGTGTTACCAGAGATCCACCAAAGAAGCCAGCATTGCCGCAAAGTGAGGGAAGCTGCAAACCGAGGACCACCTGTCAAGTCACTGAAATAGTCCCAAATATATTTGCTGAAGTGACAATTGAGTAGAGTGTGATCCAAGTTGTCCTCATGCTGTGAACAGAAAGGGCATATGCTTGGGAGCATGAAGTTGAATCTCCTGAGGTTGTAGGGAAAGGGTAAGCATCCTAATTGGCATTTCCAAATGAAGATCCTAACTCTAGGGATTTGGTTCTTGTGCCAAACAAATCTGGAGGTGAAGGAGTTATTGTGGGCTTCCTCTCTAAGGGAGTAGGCATGTTTTAGAGAGAAAGCACCATTGTTCCAGGTCATGGAGCCAGGATCACCATTAGCAAAAAGGGTGCAGAAGGAATCAACTCTACAGATCCTTTTCCATGTTGGTGAATTAGAAATCCTTTCTCTAATACCACCCTGCTTGAGATATTTAGCTTTCATAAAGGTTGATCACAGCCCCGAATCATTGTGTACTTTCCACCAAAGTCTAGCACCATAGGATTCCTCTAGAGTAGACAAGCTTTTGATCCCCAGGCCCCCCTGCTTCTTTGGGGAGACAAATGTTAGGCCATTTGACCCAGTGGTATTTAGGCCAACCTTTTTTCTGTCCCCAAAAGAAATTGGCCATCAAAGTGTTGAGTCTGGCATGGATTGATTTGGGCAGCGTGTGAACTGCCAGGATGTGTAATGGAATGGAGGAAAGAACATGCTTGATGAGAATTAAGCGTCCCATTTGATTAAGAATTTTGTTGTACCAAGATGAGATGTGTTTGTTAAAATGCTCCAGGATGCTATTACAATGCTCCTTCCTGAGGATTCCTTTGCAGATTGTCCCACCCAGGTAGGTGAAAGGGAGGGTACCTGACTTCATGCCAAGGATCTTCTCTATATGTGTAAGCTGCTCTTTGGGAGTTTTTTTGGAAGAGTAGAACCTGCTTTTAGTGTAATTTATTTTCTGTCCAGAGGCCCCTAGGTATTCTAGCAAAATACCCTTCAACCTTAGCAAGTTTCTTGAGTCCCCTTTGGTGAAAATCATTAGGTCATCTGCGTAAATAAGATGTCCCACCCATTTCAAGGATCCCACATTGTATCTTTTTATAAAATTTGTATCTAAATGCTGGTTCAACAGCCTTGAGAAACCTTCCCCTCCTATTATAAAGAGAAGAGGGGAAAGGGGATCACCTTGCTTGACACCCCTAGTCATGGGAAAGAATCTTGTTGGCTCCCCATTTAAAAGAATAGAGATAAAGGTGGATTTCAGATTAGCCATGAGAAGCTTGATGGAGAAAGATGAGAAACCAAAGTTTTTAAGGATGGATTCCAAGTAGGACCAGTCCATCATGTCGAATGCTTTGGCCATATCTATTTTGATGATGATATTGCCCCCAAACACCTTCCTGTCCAAATGGTGAATGGCCTCTTTAGCCATGAGAATATGGTCGTCAGTGGCTTTACCTTTCTGGAACGCAGCTTGTTCTTCTGATATGATTTTAGGCAGCAGTTTTTTGAGCTTGTTTGCCAGCAGCTTCGTGTTAACTTTGCTCATGAAAGTGGATAAAGAGATAGGTCTGAAATCATCAAAAGTTTTTGGTTGGTCTTTCTTTGGGATGAGGGTGAGGAAAGTGCTCCCATACCCTTTAGGAACAGGCATCCCTAGAAAGAATTCCTGAGAGGCCTTGAGGACATCCTGTGGAATAATATCCCAGCAGCATTTGAAGAAAGTACCATTGAAGCCGTCTGGTCCACTTGCACTGTTAGCATCCATGTCCCAAATGGTATTTTTAACTTCCTCTAAATCTGGCAGGGCAGTGATGGAGTCATCCTCATTAGCTGTTATCAATGTTGGAATATAAGGGAGAACAGGGGCAAGGTTTGGGCAATGATCAGTTGAGAATTGGGATTTAAAAAATTTGATGGACTCTTCAGCCTTTCTTGCCTGTTCAAAAATATTTCCAAACTCTTATATTCAACATAATATATATATATATATATATGTATGTATATATATATATATGTGTGTGTATATATATATATCTGTGTGTGTGTGTGTGTGTGTGTGTGTATATATATATATATATCTATATATATATATATATATATATATATATATATATATATATATGTATGTATGTATGTATGTATGTATGTATGTATGTATGTATGTATGTATCTATATATATGTATATATATATATGTATATATACACACACACACACACACACTTCGGTATTTATATATAAAATATATATATAACCGAATATTTATATATATATTATTATATTCCAAAATATTTTATTTTACTATTTTACAAATATACAAATTACTTATTATCCCATTGTTTAATCCTACTCCTTAAATTGTCCAAAGTGTGTGACCCGTATAGGCACTTATAAAGCTGGCCACAGTATTGGCTCTGCACCAATACTATAAGCAATAAGCGGTATCTAGCAACACATTATTGCCCCCAGATTATAAGTTAAGACGTTTGCACCGTCAAAACCTTTCCACGATTCAAACTCCATGTAACTGTATCCCTTTGTCTCAATGTCTAAACTTAATGCAAGGGATTAATAAAATCCAGCTTGTATCCATTAAGTCATTCACTGATTTATCAAGTTTGACTAATAGTAACAGACATTAATCTCTTTTAAAAGAGTAGTGACAAATCCTATGTACGTAATCTACGTTTCTGAATACGCGCTGCGGCATACCCAAAACAAAGCATGTATACCATCCTTATTTCATATGGCTTAGGACGATGCATCAAAGTATGCGGGTTCACATATGCAGAAAACGTAATACTTCAAGTCGAAGGATAGTTACACCCGTGGTCGCACTAAAGATGCTTAGATGATGAACTAAAAGTTCAAGCAACATCTTTAGGATGGGTCAGTCCGGCATCCTATTATCTCTAGATAATATCTGCCCATGTGCGGATGCGAACACACCGTCATTGACTATGAGACTAAGTCAAACATCCAACACACACTAGTCTCACATGCATTAACGATATCCCACTCGTTAATTCTCGACTATGGACATTCAGATAAATATTTATTTCAAGATGTTAGTCTCATCAGCAGAAAAAACACTATCTTATAACCATCTTTTAAATATAAATCTAGGAATATAATATTTGTTTACATTAGCATGAGATGTGTAAACATATTATATTTGCCTATACATGATAGAATAATGATAAATAGTTGGCCATCAGGGCACAACTCCAATAGAATCTCCTTTCACGGGTTAAAGGCTCCCATCCTTCCGTCACGTCCCATTTCCCCCACCCGACGCCACCCTCATGTCCATCACTCGGCAACTCTACGGCCAAGGGGTCGTCGAGATTAAGAAGGTGGTGACTGAGGAATCTCTAGCAGTGCTGGGGTTTGAGTTTGTCCAAGACGAGCTTCGCCACCAACCCGACCTGCTAAGGGATGTTCCCGGGGGACATCAGCCCGACCTGCCAAGGGATGCTCCCGAGGGAGGCTTTTACTGTGGCCGTTTTGTTAATTTCCTACCCTCTTTGTCAGGGATTTCAAGTTTATTTCCCTCTATGATTAACCATTCCATTTGTTTTCAGTTGAGCCACCAGGATTAGAAGAGGAAATGGATAGTGATTTTTTGCTCGGTCACTTCGTTGCAGGGAGGAAGAGGAAGAGGGACGCGACCAAGCAAAGCAGAAGCAGGCGCTCTTCCTCTCGTGGTGAAGATAGTCCTCCTCATGAGCAAGTCGTGATCCAGGTGGAGGACCAGGATGATGCAGCCCTAGAAATGGGGACGATGGCAATCAACTCCCCTCCGCGCTCCCTGATGCTGGGTGGCGACCTAGCTGGGTCCTAGAGAGCCTTCTCGGAGCGACCTCACTCCCCACTAGTAGTGACCTACAAGGTGGCGACCCAAGGTCGCTCGACGAGGTTCAGCATTCGTCTCCCATCCCCAAGCCTAGGGGACGTGCAACTGGAGACCTTGGTCACCTTGCCCGCTCAGGATCGAGCTTGCATCTCGGCCGGTTCTAAGGATGACCTCAACAACATGGTTCTTTTGAAGCTTAGCCAGGTATTTGCCTTAACCCCCTTTTCGCCACCCCTCCATCTTACATCTCTAACCTTTATGTTTTGGTACAGGCTACGCTGGGGATGATTGAGCTCATTGGCCGGAGGCAGGACTGCCAAGCAGCTATGGATGAGGCAAGGAAGGCAGCTGAAGATAAGCAGAGAGAGCTGCAGGAGGAGGTCGCCCGCCTCGCAAGAGAGCTAGAGGAGGAGAAGGGTCGCTCTACCACCCTTGAGACAGAGAACACCTCCTTGTCTTCTGAAAGGGGTCCGTTTCTGCCGCATAGCTGAGCTAGAGGGGGAGAAAACCGATCTGATTCAGTAGCTGGAGGCGGAGAAGAGCGACTAGGTCCGTTGCGTGGAGGAGGCGATCGATTCATTCAAATCTTCTCCTGATTTTGCTGCGGTTGCTATGGAGCGGATGGACAAGCTGGTAGCCAAATGGCTAAAAACTGGGCCTGGGGTCCAATGGATGGTCAAGGAGGGAAAGACGTCCTTCAACTGCGGACTCTTTCGTGCCCATCAAGTTTTTTGCAACAAGCTAGCCCAGCTTCCCAAAGGATTCTCTTTCCCCAACCTTTGTTTTCCTCTTCCTTGTCGTGCCTTGGCTGAGTTCGACCCCAGTCCTTACTTGGACAAGGGGAGCTCGAGTGCCTCTGACGAGGAAGAAGAAGAAGCTGTGCTGGGCGACCAAGGTGGGCAAGGCAACCAAGACCCTGGGGCCAACCTAGTGACGTCCAAGGCGGGCGGAAGCGCTAGCTCGGGCATCTGATTTACCTCCCTTCCCCTTGTCTTTTTTACCTTTAAACTTGTAAGACTTATGATTTTGAAATGCCTTGGTGCTTTGATACAATACTCCCATGTTTGATGTTTTGCTTTATTCATCACGTTCCTTTACTTTTTTTGCACTTTGTTACTATACTCTTTCCTTTAAGTTAGCTTAACTCATCTAGGTGATGCCGATTGGGGCTCACAGAAAAGTGAGTCGCCTCCCCACCTTCCCTCGCAGGAGAAGGACAAGGGTTTTTACTGCAGCTTGGGGGTGACCATCTCTGTTCCATGTTGGAGAAGAAAGGTGGTCGCTCGTAACGGCTAGTGATCGGGGTTTTGTCGGCTTGTCCAGCTGTAGAACTACCCTTCAATTTGCCCTTTCCCCTATATTTCTCTCGCTGATTTTGGATTTTCCTTTTAAACGTATGTAAGATGCATGGGAGAATTTTCCATCTTCAATGTGTGTAGAATGTATGGAAGTTGTTCTCAATTGTATTGGATATAGATGCAAAAGATGACTCTTGATGTGTAATAGATATTTCCATGAATGTACTTTGATGTTACCTGTTTACTTACAAGTCCCATCTTCTTTTCACGTTGTCTTTTGCACCTTATTTCAAGCATTGAGGTTCCTCAACCTTTAGTTGGAAAAAACCCCTTGCTTCCCTTGGCTTAGCCGGGGCTTTTTCACTTTCCCCGGCGTCGCCATGTTTTTCAAAAGTCCCCTGGTCGCTCATGCAACCATTGGATCTCATATTCTGGACTTAGCCATTTCCAAGGCTTTTTCGCCACGGCGTTGCCCTTGTCTACTAGGCGTGTTGTCCTACTGGGTTCCTTAGTGACCGTAGATCAAGCACCCTCTGATAGCCTCTAGAATTGGTTATTACTTGGGTTCAGTACCTCATCCCTCGATGGGTATCTTAGTACGAATCACCATGCAGCTCCTATTAGCGATCTCTTTGGTCGCTCCTTTTTTTTGTGAACAATGAAATTCAAGAAGAGAAGTGCAAAAAATTCTGATTTTATTAAACTCAAAGGAGAAACATAGCAGGAGTACAATCTATTGATAAAATTTGATGAGGTTGGCAGCGTTCCATACCCGCGGGATGTCGCCTCCCGCTGGTGTTTGTAGTTTAAAGGTTCCATCGGCCAACATTTCCTTTATGATGTATGGCCCCTCAAAACTCTTGGCAAACTTCCCCTATCGGTCGGCTGACTGACCTCCCTTATTCTTAGGACCCCGTTGCCCGTTCTGAACTGCCTTGGTCCCACCCTTTGATCATGGTACGACTTAACTTGCCGACGGTAGTTCTGTGCTCGTATATATGCCCTTTCTCTTCGTTCATCTATAAGATGTAACTCTGCACTTAGGTTTTCTTCGTTCTCCTGGGCATCAAACGTTTCCACTTTATAGCTTAGCAACGAGGTCTCAGCGGGAGCCCTCACCTCGAACCCATACGTGAGCGCGAACGGAGTTTCACCCGTAGCTTTCCTTGGGGTGGTCTTATAGGTCCATAAGATGTAGGGAAACATTTCCAACAGGAACTTTTCCACTCCATTATCTTCTTCTTCATGCCATCCACAATGGTGCGGTTAGTATTCTCGACCTGCCCATTGATCTCGGGGTACCCGACCACAGCGTAGCTATGTTTTATGCCCCAACTCTATAGAAACTCATTGAACCCCTTAGCCTCGAACTGGGTCCCAATATCAGTGATGATCTGCTGGGGCACCCCAAAACGGCACAAAATTTGTTTGGACACAAATTTCCTCATCTGCTCTTCGGTGATGGTCGGTACTGGGCGGCGTCAACCCATTTAGTAAAGTAGTCGATCGCGACCACCAAGTACATTTTATTTCCTGCTCCTCTAGGTAGGATGCCAACTATATCAGTACCCCATCGAGCAAAGGGAATTGTCGTGCTGATAAGGGTGTAATTCGTTGCTGGTCGCCCAGGTACCTTTTGAAACTCCTGGCAGACCTTACACTTACGCACGTACTCTGCGCAATCCCTAATGAGCGTAGGCAAGAAATACCCCTACAAGGTTATCTTTCTGGACATTGTAAAGGCTCCTTGGTGCTCTGAGCATATCCCCTCATGGATTTCCTCCATCAACTTCTGTGCTTCGTCTCTCCTTAAACACCTTAACAGTGTACCATTGTACGATCGCTTGTATAGCCTACCGCACTCTAGCGTGTTGCTAGGTGCGCGTCGCTTGACGACTTTGGCTGTGATCCGATCTGTTGGTAGCGACCCGTCAAGGATGTACATAGTTAACTCGTCTATCCAGTCCGGCTCGTTGAGCGTAACAACCAAAACTTGTCCAGGACTGATGCTTGGCTCGAGCAACTCTTCTTCTTGGGTCATCGCCTTGATATGGTCTAGGGAATCAGAACCAAGCTTCGATAGGATGTCTACCTTAGCATTTTCTTCTCGAGGGACCTACTCTATCCGGTACGCCCCGAATGCCTTAAGCAACTCCAACACGGTGTCTCTATATTTCTTCATCCTCTCATCCTTGGCTTCAAATTCTCCTGTGACATGGCCCACTATCAATTTGGAATCACACCTGACCAGGATCCGCTCGGCCTTCAATGATGCTGCTAGCCTCAAACCGTAGAGCAGCGCCTCGTACTTAGCCTCATTGTTTGAGACCTTAAACCGGAATCTTACGGAGTAGTATGCCTTGAATCCCTCAAGTGATATTGCCACGACGCCTCCCCCCGAAGCATCGGTCGCGGATGAGCCATCGGTGTATATGGTCCACTAGTTTCCCTCGGGCTCTTCTCCATTGGACTCTACTTCCCTTGCGGTGCACTCTACAACAAAGTCCGCCAAGGCCTGCCCCTTGATCGCTAGTCACGGCTTAAATTCTATTTGGAAAGAACCCAAGTATACTCCCCATTTGATAACACGCGACGGAGCGCTCGGATTCCGAAGGAGGGTTCCAATCGGAATTTGGGACAGCATGTGGACCGGGTGGTCTTGAAAGTAGGGGGTGAGCTTCTTCACTGTACACACCACCGCAAAGATGGTCTTTTCCATATTCGTATATCTCAGCTATGCCTCTCGCAATACCCGGGCCACATAATACACATGGCGCTGCGTACCTTCATCCTCTCTCACAAGTACTGAGCTCACAGCTCGAGGAGAGTTTCTAAGTACAAGAACAAAGTGTCTCCGGGCTTTGGCTTCGAAAGCACTAGCGGTGAGAGGAGGTACGCCTTCAACCCTTCAAAGGACCTCTGACATTTTTCGGTCCAAACAAAGTCTCTGTTCTTCTTTATTGTCTGGAAGAAGGGTGCCGCTCGATCAGCTATTTTCGATAAGAAGCGACTGAGAGCAGCGATCCTCCATGTGAGTTGTTGGACCTCCTTCACGTTTCGTGGAGGCTCCATCTCCAAAATCGCCTTCACCTTCTCTGAATTGGGCCTGATCCCCCTTCAACTTACCATGTGCCCTAAAAACTTGCCTCCCTAAACCCCAAATGTGCACTTCTTGGGGTTGAGGCAGAGCTGGAACTTGCTCATGATTCTGAACACCCTTTCCAGATCCTGGGCATGGGACTTTATCTGCTTCGATTTGACGATCATATCGTCCACATATGCTTCCATGCACCCCCCAACACTGGTGCAGACAGTTTTGTTGACCATCCGTGCATAGGTCACGCCAGCGTTCTTTAGACCTAAGGGCATTACCTTGTAATAGTATATCCCATTGGGGGTGATGAAGGCAGTCTTTTCTTCATCTGCTGTAGCCATTTTGATCTGGTGATATCCATTGAATGCATCCATGAAACTCATTAACTCGCACCCTGCTGTCTCATCCACCAATTAGTGAATGTTGGGGAGAGGAAAAGGGTCCATCGGGCAAGCTTTGTTCAGGTCGGTGTAATCGACGCACATCCGCCAAGTGTTTCCTTTGGGTGCGAGGACTACATTCGCCAACTTCCCAGATGTGCCTGATGGACTACAGGGTTGTCACTTGCTTAGTGACAAAATCTCTCCTCTCTAAGGAAAGGAAACGCTTCTTCTGTTTGACCGGTCTGTGGGTCGGATCCACTGCCAATTTGTGGCAAATGATTCGTGGATCGACCCAGGCATATCCTATGGACCCAAGGCAAACAACACTCTGAATGAACGAAGGACGCCCATTAGATGCTCCTTCAACCTAAGTGGTAGGGTCTTACCTATCTTCACCTTTTGCTCTGGCTTGGCTAGGTCCAAGGCGACTTCTTCAACTTCCTCCACCGGCTCTGCTCTAGGTCGCTGACAGTCGTAGTTTTTCGGGTAGTAAACCTCCCTAATAAAGGATTAATTTTCTCTCCGAGTGTCGTATCTCTCGAGGAGTGGATGAAGAGAATTAGTTTAATTACTCTAATTAGGCGAAGATTAGGATTGGTTTATGAAAGTCTTCTCGGAATGAATAAAAAGGAGCAGAGTAAAAAATAATAAATTAATTTTACATAGTATAAGTGTAGATCTGAACCTAGGGTCAGGACATCATTTGGATCCATTTTATCATATCAAATTAACAGTTGGAATAATAATATTTCTATTACTACTCATCCATTTCTAGATTTGTATTTAATCCGTTGCATTTGAACATCATAGCCTCTTGGCATACAATATTTTCTCTATAAATGGCCAATTAAATCTTTCGAGTTTAATTAACCAAATAAGGCAAGAACAATAGATTAACCACTCCAACATTAATATAACATAAAAATAAACAACCAAACTAGTCTGGACCCAGAGATCCGGACCCTAACTCATACTATGCAAACAAAAATTAAAACAGCATTTTATTAAATAAAGAAAACTTACAACTTCCGTAAAAGCGGAACAGAACAGATCGGGAGTAGAATTTCTCTAGAAAATACTTCAAAACTAATATTTAAACTAATATACACGAAATTTGGAGAAAAAGGAAGAAGAAACCCGAAAAAGGGTTGAGAGTTGGTGTAGAATGAGTGAGGACCCGCAGTGTATTTATAGGGCAGGGAGTACGGGCGTCCAACTTTGGACGCCCGCGCACTTATTACATGTTCAGCCCAATCCGCGTACGCCGTGTTGCAAAGCCATGTCATCCATCCTTGCTTGGGCGTCCAACTACCACGGGCGTCCAACTTTGGACGCCCAGGACCCGAATCCTAAGCCCAATTCGCCTCCAATCGCGATTCCTTGCAAATTTGAGCCTGAAATTGTTCCGTATTGACCCAATTGGCTCCCAGACACTAATTTCTACCTCTGAAGTATTATGATCTTTAAAATTCGAAACTTTTTATCTAATTTGGGCATTAAAATTGAAAAATCCACTTAATTTAATTTGGAATCCGTATTTTATTCTTCTTGAGACAAAACATAAGTTTTGTCACTAATAGACACTTTTAATGGGTAAAGTTTTTACTATTTTCGTGCAATAACGCTTAAAATATGTAAAATAAAATAAGAACAAAATGAACTTATCAGTCGCCCTTCTTCCTTCTGTATGGTGGCACAGATCGTGCTCACATTCTCATCTACTCGTGCCTAGCTTTTGGTCGCCCTGACATAGCACGATCGGAACAAACTCTAGTTCCCTTTAGCCACTCCTACCCCGGTGGGGGAGATAAACTTCATACACTGGTAGACAGGGGAGATTACGCACTCTAAATCCTCCAGACCGAGTCGACCTAGAATCAAATGGTGTGCACAGTCAAGCTACACTACCATGAATTCCATGTCGATCCAGAGTCGGTGGGTGCCATCTCCCACCCCAGCCTTCACTGTGATGGTTCCTTCTGCTTCAATAGTTCCCCCGCAAATCCTGACAGCGGGGTATGGATTGACTTCAGGTCGCCCCGTGACAATCCCAGCTCATTGAAAGTATTGCTGTACATGATGTTGACCAAGCTACCGGTATCGACCAACGTGCGGTGGACGACCACGTTATTGATCTCCACCTTTATCACCAGCGCATCCCGATGGGGACTGAGAACTGGAGGGTAATCTTCATCTGTGAAGATCAGAGGTTCCTTCTTCTTTCGCTTGGACAGCGGTGGTCTTTGCACCTCGGCTAGGTGCACCATGTTCTTCCACTTCTTTCGTGAGGACGCCGAGTCCCCTCAGGTGTTGCCACCCATAATGAACCGACACCCAAAATGTCAGCGGTTCTGTCTCTCTTCCTCGTCTAGGTCGTCGTAGTCTCTCCCCAGATGTCGTCTTCCATCCTCCTGCCCATCCCCTGCTGTGATTGTTGTGGCAAGGGCCGCCGGTCTCCTCCAGGTCTGGTTACCCGACGCTGGTCGCTCCATCCGAGGAGGCGGCCCTCTGGCAATCAGCTGGTCCATTTCCTTCTTCAACGTAACGCACTACGACGTGTTGTGGGTGCTATTACGATGGTATTCGCAGTACTTGGGTGCATCTTGGACGCTATAGCTTTCCCGATTGCGGGGAGGGGCCGGCAAGGACTGTACCGCATGGACAAGCTGTCTGCTCGCCTTATATCCCGTAGGGTTGGGCCCCCTACCAAAATCCTTCCTCTTTCTTCCCTTAGCCACCGGCTGTCCGCTCTTTTTCTCTTTGTGAATGGGTGGCTCGTCATCTTCCTCTTCCAACGCAAGATACTTCGCCTTGGCTAGCATCTCCTAGTAGGTCGAGAATGGATTTTGTCGCAGCTCCTTGCGCACATCCCCTTGAAGGAGTGCCGCTTGGAGCATATCGATCAAGGCATGGACGTTCGCCCCTTGCACGTCCCTAGCCTCTTTCTCCCACCTGTTGATAAATTCTCGGAACTGCTCCCCCTTCCGGATTTTCACATTGAGCATGTGTGAGAATGGGAGCTTTTGCCTCCGGCAAGACGTGAAGTGTTCTAAGAATTTCTAGGCCAGGTCGCTCCACTTGTCGATCGACCCTTTAGGCAACTTATGGAATAATTCACAAGCTTGCCCCTCCAATGTCACCAGGAAGCATCAGCACTTAATCTCTTCGGGGTATGCATACATAACCACGTTCGCCCTGAAGCGAGCGAGGTGATCTTGGGGATCAGTCGTCCCGTTGTATGCTTTGACTAGCGGAGTCTTAAAATTGTCCGGGAGAGGGAAAGACATTATCCTTCTAGAGAAGGGCTTTACCTCGCTGAAGACCGCCTGACGGTACGGAATCTGGGCGTCCAACTGCTTCTCCAATCGCTCATACATCCTCCATAACTTTACTGCTTCCTTGTGCTCGATCGCCTTTCGTCGCTCTTCCGAGCCGATCTTGGAGGTCGCTAAGGACTCTCCTCTCCTTTCATTGAGTGTCTCTCTCAGGTCGCCCTTGCGAGCCGACCGTGTGTCCTACAGCTGATCGAACGCTGAGGTTCGGGGCTTCTTTGATTTGGGATCCCCCAACCGATCGAAGGCTGATGCCCGCTCAAAGGAGGATGATTCATCTTCTTCGTCCAATCTGGACAGCTCATCCTCCACCCTTGCCTTCCTGTTGGGCTTGGTCGCCTTCTTTTTCTGGGACCGCCTCACTTTCTTCTTCTTCTTTTCCCGAACCTGCAGGTCCAGCCTTCCTGCCTGCAGGTTCTCCGGTCGCGTCTTCCACCACAATCTCGCAATTGGGTGTCAAGGCCGCTAGCACCTCCTTGAACTGCCCTGCCATGATCACGACCCTCTAGATGAGGGCCTCCACCTCCGTCACGTTGATAGGAGGGTGTCGGCCTCCCGTGGCGCTGTTCTCACACCCTAGAGGGGGATTCCGGTACCTAAATTTGCGTTGCTGCGTGTCTACACCATTGTCTTCTTCGAAGGTTTTTCATGAGTGGGATCCTCGAGCTCTCAATGAAAGCCCCAATTTGATGGACAATAAATCCACCAAATGATCCGATTCAAAAGAATGGATCACAAGAAATAAAATAAGAACAAGAACCCGAGAATTATGTGTGTATTATTAGCTTGATTTAGCTTGAGTTTTTCCTATCTCGGGTCTCCTCTATTTATACATGGATTCTAGACAGTTAAGGTAATTCATAATCAAAGGGAGTCCATCCCGTCAATGGCACGATCTTCTTTTTCCGGCTTCGTCTTCGCCACTCAGCTTAGTCTCCTCCTGCGGATTGGCTCTTCCAGCTGTATCTTGGGTTGGAGTGATCCGGGCCTCGGGTCCAATCTTTTATCGCGCACTTGACCCGGAGCCTAGCGGATAATTAATTCCGGCCGCCCGCTGGAGCCTTCAGCGAATAGAACTTCGTCGAAATAGAAGATTTTCTGTTCCAATCTTATGATCTCTTCGACGAGTGGATCATATTGATATTCGCACATAGGCCCAGATTGGTCATAGTCATCTTGGTCACAATGAGGTTCATAATAATTATCCCCGTCACAATCTTGGCATGGAGAATATCCAAAGTTTCTAGACAGGGTATCATATGGTAGTTCCTCATGATAGGGATAGTAGTCAGACCATTTTTGACTTGGTAGTCATCATCATATGAGTTCTGATGTGGGTGGTAAGGTGGATGGGTTTGGTACGGAGGGAGGTTGGGTGATTGGTAGTAAGAAGGCGGACCATAATAACCACTGGAGTTATCCATAATAATTATTACGGGTGGTTGGTGAAATAGAAGTGAGAAGATCGTTCTAACCAATCTTCACCCAAGCTAATCAGAAGAAATTAAACTAATGTCGTGTCACTCCCCGGCAACGGCGCCATTTGACAGTTGTAGTTTTTCGGGTAGTAAACCTTCCCAACAAAGGGTTAGTTTTCTCTCCGAGCGTCGTATCTCTCGAGGAGTGGACGAAAGGAATTAATTTAATTACTCTAACTAGGCGAAGGTTAGGACTGGTTTATGAAAGTCTTCTCGAAACGATTAAAAAGGTAGAGTAAAAATAATAAATCAAGTCCACATAGTATAAGTGTAGATCTGGATCTAGGGTCAGGACATCATCTGGATCTATTTTATCATATTAAATTAACAATTGGAATAATAATATTTCTATTACTACTCATCCATTTCTAGATTTGTACTTAATCTTGTTGCACTTGAGTATTATAGCCATTTGACATACAATATTTTCTCAATAAATAGTTAATTAAATCTTTCCATGTTAATTAACTAAATAAGGCAAGAACAATTGACTAACCATTCCAACATTAATTTAACATCAAAAATAAACAACCAAACTAGTCCGGACCCAGAGATCTGGACCCTAAGTCATACTATGTGATGGTTATAAACCACCGAGAATGAAGAATAATATAAGTTTTTAGAGAGAGAATGCAATGTAGGAGTTTATTCGTTCTCAACTTCCGGTCCATTACAATGAGGGGTCTCGCCCCTTTTATAGGGGATGCAATACACATAGTCAAAGTTCTCTGATCGAGGTTCGTCGCCTAGCGGACGTCATCTCAGTCGTGAAGTGTCCTTTTCATCGCGTCGCTATCGTGCAGTCAATGCGGCCGGTCGCTTTCCTCCCATCGCTGTCATGACGCCTAGCCGAGCTCATAGGCCGAGCCGAGCTCATGAGACGAGCCGAGCTCAAAGGCCGAGCAGAAAGCTCTTCCACGTGGGTGATTAGGTCCGGCCAACGTGTCTTTTGGAATCCTCCTCCATCATAAGCCCCCCACTCTTCGGGTTTCGTTCCAATCGGCGATGAGACACGAGAGAGTATAGGTACTGTAGGAAAGCGGCGCGGGGGCCCACGTGGAAGAGGTTGGCAGGCCACTGATGCCGTTTGGGCTTCCGCCATCATGAAGGCTTCCGCTTCGTATAATATAATCGCATATTTGCGTCGTAATGAGTTAGTCATCAGAATGGGATACTTTTAGACAACAGAGTTTATTTATTCTAGACGTTCGTGTTTAAATCAGCAATCCGATCATCTTCAGTCCACATGAGGATCTTTGACAGCAGCTTTGCGAATGTTATTCAACATTAGGCGTTTCTTCAAAGTCGTCTCACTTCTATGCGACTTTGCGAATAGATCAGCTTCGTCAATCGCGATATGATAAGTACGTTGATAACGTATCACAATTTTTTTTTATTCTTTCGTCTCTTCACCGAGTACGAAAAATCTACTTGAGTCTATGCTCGATATAATTTCACTACTAACAATTGTTATCTAGTNCGGGCATTCCCAACGAGTAATCCTCTAGTTTGGTCTACGAATCCCGTTTATGAATTTATATCTAATTCATCAACTATTCATGTTTTCATAAGTTCATTCTAAGATCTATTCTAGAAGTCTTCTAGATAGTCTTAACATTAATTAGCTAATAGGTATATCTTAAAGTTCTTCTAGATATCCTTAACAACATTATTTATCAATTCATACTCTTAGTTCAACAATCATTTCATTCAGAATATTCATCATCATTAATCCATAATATTCATAAAAATGAACAATCAATCAATCATCATAATAACTAATAACAATCAGCGGCCTAGCATCGAGTGTTAACACCCTAGCTTACCGTCATGCATCACATAAGATCCCTTTTAGTTGTTAAAATACCATCTTTATTCCAAGAAATCATCCTTTTATTAATCAAAATGGTTTGGTATCAAAATATAGGATTTCATAGTTCAAAAATCATGTTTTCTAAACCATAATTGATTAATATATGATAGGAAATTCAATTATTAACTATTAGCTTCATTTTCTTCAATAGTATAGGGAGACAGTCTACTGTCACTTCTGATAATCTACTGTCTGATGTTCAGAATGGGCTGATAATCGATTATCACACTCTGATAATCGATTATCAAACATCAGAGAGGGCTGACAGTCGATTACCACATTCTGATAATCGACTGTTGCTCAGCTTTGTTCAAAAAATCTGCAGAACGATGAATAATCGATTTTCAAGTTGATAATCGATTATCCATCGTCTTCTACCCCGAGCCAACTTGCGGAAATGTCACTTTTACTCACCAAACTTCAATTAAAGTACATAAAAATGTTCTCCAAGGTTCATGGATCATTTTAGCATCATTAATTCATAATTTTAACATCAATTTCATGGTTTATGATTCTTAGTTCTTCAAGTATGTCAAACACAAAACTCAACCAAATGACCATCTATGAACGTAGAATCGATCTATATGAACATTCTAGTCATTAGATATATCTACGGGCTTACCTCGAAGCCAAACTTCCGGCGAGTATTTCTCCTAACTCCAGCGACTTCACACCAAATTGACAGCACCACATCACTCCTCACACTTTCATGAACACTTAGGAAGAAGAATGAAGAAGAATGGTGAAGAAATGAGGAAGAGAGGTCTTCCTTATATATTGAAGAAGAAGAAGAAGCTAATGGAGTTGAGTCAGTGGTGACTCACGATCGGCGAAATGGGAAGGTTGGCTGATTTAGTCTGATTGCTACGAATCTTCCCTGATTGGGACTAATTTGGTCCCAGTCGGGGTACACTTTTTGGTCCAACTTTCTCCGAATTAAAATCTGTTTGCACCATTGCGATCAGACAGTCGAACTCTATCCAACGATATAATTTTTTATATTCATTCATTATACTTTTTGACTGTGGTGTAAAAACCCACAAACTGAAATTGTCTCAGTTTTAACCAAATTAACTGGAAGGAGTATTTTCCAAGAGAGTAAATTAAGTGTAGTTAATAAGAGTACTAAATAAAGTTGTTTAGTAAAGTTATAAATGTAAGATTTGTTTAAGAAATAAATGAGAACTAAACCGTCTGTACTCAGGTTCCCAATCAAGACTACACAAATAGTCCACATATTGGATTTATCTCTATGAGACTTATCCAGATTTTGATATTAGATGTCAAAACAAATTTCATATCGGCTCAAAGCCCAACAATAATTTATTTTAATCAAAACAATTGTGATTAATTGATTATTTATTCATTAATAATTCTAGGGTATGTTTTGGGGCGTTACACATTCGACCCTTCCTCTATAAATATCAACCCCACCCCTTTCATTCCCCACTTAGAGAGAGAAAGTAGGGGATTTCTTTTGCCGTCGCTAGCCTTCTCACCGTCGTTCTCGTCCGCCTCCCGGCTCCGTACTAGGTTAGTCTTCCTCGTCCTTGTTCTTCCATGTCTTCCCAATCCTCCGTCTTTCGCCAGTCCGAGTCCGAGCGCGTTGCTGAGGGCTCTGTCGCCGGCCCCGCGCAGGAGAGCGACTCCCGCTCGCCCTCCGTCGAGGAGATAGCCGAGGCGGTCGAGGTCCCTCTTCAGTCCGAGCCTCGTAACCAGAGGCGGACCATTCTCGAGGACTCGGGGATCCGAGCGCAAAGGTGCACCCTTACTCGGGAGGAGTACCGCAAGGCGAAGCGCCTAGCCTCGGCGCCGGGCGTTACCGTGCGCCGTCCCACTTCCGAACAGTCAGTGTTTGATGCTCCTCCAGGTTGCTTCGCCATCCACCTCAAGTCCCTTGAGTACGGGTTCCGCTTCCCCCTCCATCAGTTAGTCATAGATTTTTTCCTCCATTTTGATTTTCTCCCTTGCCAAGTCGTGCCCAAATCCCACCGCTATTTGGCGGGATTTCTCATTCGTTGCCAGGGGACCGGGGTTCGCCCTGATCTGGCCCGTTTCTTGCTTCTCTTCCGGTTGGCGAAGTCGTCTGGCCGGGCGAACTCCAACTCGAGCTCGTATGCCTCAATATTCCAAAGACACGAGAAGCTCTTCAAGACGAGAAAGGACTCCGCCAAGAGTTGGAAGGGGAAATTCGTCTTCGTTTCTCTTTCCTCGGGCTCCTCTTTTCATAAAGAACCCCTCAGCTCCTTTCGTCGTCGCTCCGCGTGCGTCACCTCGGACAAGATGCTTGAGGACGTAGAGACGCTCTGCCGAGGGGGGCCCTTCGAAGTCGGTTCGATAGCGGCACTCGGCCATCCGTGGGTCGCGACTACCTCGGATTCCCCCGCGTCGCTCTTTTGCGGCTAAGTCCTCGCCTCATCGCTTGTCTTTTTTGGTTTGTGCAGGTGAAATCATGCTCTCCAGCGCCGAGCGACTGAAGCTCATGTTCCCGGATGCCCCTAGCGGCAACTCCCGGGCTCCTACCGTGGCTGGTCGTCCTCCGACTCTCCCCGTGAAGCCAACCCCCGAGGCGGCCGAGAAAAAGAAGAGAAAGGAGACGGCCTCGGCCAATGATACTCCCCAGGGTCCGAATCCCCGATGATGAAGGATTTCGGCCACCCGAAATATGTCAAGGCGGCCTTCCCTGCAGGGGTCTCCTTTCTGGACTGGGACTACGACCCGGAGACCTTTCTGCGTAGCTTGACTCCTCTCATCGATCGCGCCAAAATCCAGGACGTCGACCGGGAAACTCTGGCCTCGGATATGTTTCACGAGATGGGCTCGGTAAGTTTCCCTAGTCATACTTTATAAATGCAACTCTCCTACGGCGCTCACCCCTTATTTATCCGCAGGCGATGATGCGCATGGTCGACATGAGCGAGCGGCTGCGCACTAGCGAGGCCGACCGGAGCAGGGCTTATGTTGAAATAGCTGACCTCAACGAGGCGCTAAAGGCGGCCAAGGAGCAAGCTCGCCAGGCCGAGGAGCGGGCCCAGCAGCTCGCGGAGGAGGCTGCTCGCAAGGCGCGCCAGGAGGCTCGCGATCAGGCCGTTGCCGAGTTCCTAGCATCGGATGCGTTTCAGGAGGAAACCTTCGCTCGCATGAACGATTTGCTCAAGGCATGGGGGCAGACTCCTGAGGGGAAGGCATTCGCTCGCTCCGAGGGGACGTCGTGGTACAACCTCGGTTTGTTCCGAGCGCAGCAGGTCCTTTCGGACAGGTTCCTCGCCGGGGAGGACTTCCCCGAACCATGCGACGATCCTGATGAGCTCGACACTTCCATCTACTACACGAATGGCGGGAACCCAGCCGGCGAGCAGCCGAATGCCGAGTGATATGACTTGAAGCTTTGTTGTATTTGATGTAATGGTGCTCAAAACTTCGTTGTTTTTTTTTTGAATTCGGATATGTTATGACTCGATGCTTTGTATGGATGTGCTATGCTCTTCTCTTTTGCCTTTAATTTTACTGTCTTCGTCGTTCCTTTTAATTGGCGTGCTCGCCCATTCCCGTCCGACCTGAGCTCGGCCACGCCGAAGAGAGGTCACCTTGGGACTTGGTCTCTTTTCTGTCCCCTCGTTATCTGAGACAACCTTGGGTCTTGGGACCTTTTGACCTGCCGTCAGTTTGACCGTCCCCATGCTGCCACGTGTATCGTCCCCCCTGGGCAAGATGCCTATATAAGGGGGGGTCCCCATAATTTGTTTGCACTCACCCTTGGATTTCTGCAAATCTTGCCATGCCGCGCTCGGCACCCACTCCTCTCGATTCTAGTGAGATGCGAGGAGAGACGCTCTCCTTCGGCAGCTACTCCCTCGGGGGCTCTTCTGCTGTTCCGACCAAGTCGGGGCCGAGCTCGACACCGCCGCGCTCTCTGCGGGACTCTGGGGACTCGGACTCTGAGTCCGAGTCGGTACACCACGATCCTTCTGCCAAGATCTCGGGGTTCATCTACTATTCGTCGGAGGAGGACGAGAAGACCCCATCTCCGCCAGTTCCGCCGGTCCGTCGTGAGGTCGTCGCCCCTCCGATTCCTGCCGGCCGCGGTGGCCGAGGCCGCCGCCCTCCAGCTCCTCCCGCAGCGGTTCCGAGCGAGAGCTCTGTGGCATCCCACCATCCGAGCCGGTGCTTCCTCGAAGACCAGAGCTCGCCCAGCTATGACGAGTCCACCGGGCACTCCGTCACCAGTCGGGCTCCTTCACCTTCTTACCCCCCACCTTGTCCTTGCAAGCGGGGGTGGAATTGTGGCATGCACTGAAGTCTACCCGTACTTTAATTGCAAGGTGTTTAATTGTTGTAAGACGTTTGTGCCATGTATTTGCCCGTTTTCCGGGATGAATAAAATTTGGATTTGATTAAGTCTTTTTCGCTTTTCGCCATTAGCCTTAAGGACTGCACTCGGCTCTTCCCCTGAGGGGGAGTGCCGAGCACGAAGGTTAAACCTTCGTCCGGGAAGAGCATCCGGACCCGGTCTGCGCTCGGCTCTTCCCCTGAGGGGGAGTGCCGAGCACGAAGGTTAGACCTCCGTCCGGGAAGAGCGTCCGGACATGGTCTGCGTTCGGCTCTTCCCTTGAGGGGTAGCGCCGAACACACAGGTTAGGCCTTTATCCGGGAAGAGCATCCGGACATGACCTGTGTTCGACTCTTCTCCTGAGTGGGAGTGCCGAGCACGAAGGTTAAACCTTCGTCCGGGAAGAGCATCCGGACATGGTCTGCGCTCGGCTCTTCTACTGAGGAGTAGTGCCGAATACGCAGGTTAGGCCTTTGTCCGGGAAGAGCATCCGGACACGGCATGTGCTCGGCTCTTCTCCTGAGGGGGAGTGCCGAGCACGAAGGTTAGACTTTCGTCCGGGAAGAGCATCCGGACACGCATGTTAGACCATTGCAAAAAATCCCATTTCATTGAATTCAATCATGGTGTTGCGGGTTCCCTTTCTCGGGCCCGTGTACATTCGAAATTCATTGATAAAACTTAACCAAGTTCTCAGCATTCCAAGTCCTTGGCACATCCCCTCCGCTCGGCGTCTGCAGGCGGAATGTTGAGGGGCCTACCACTTCTTTGATGATGTAGGGGCCTTCGTAATTCTTGGCAAACTTCCCACCTTCCAGGGGGCGGCTCACGGACCTCTTGCGCAGCACCCACTCTCCTTCGATGAACCCCCGTGCGCGCACACGCCCGTCATGGTAGCTCTTTACCTTCCTTCGGTAATTCTCCGCTCGTATGAAGGCCGCTTCTCGTCTCTCGTGCACGAGATGGAGCTCGGCTGCCAGGGCTTCATCGTTACGCTCGGGGTCGAAGATCTCCTCCCGGTGAGTTGCGATGGAGATCTCTGCAGGGGCCCTCGCCTCGAACCCGTAGCATAAGGCGAAGGGGGTTTCTCCGGTCGCCCTTCTAGGCGTGGTCCGGTAGGTCCATAGGATGTACGGCAACTCCTCTGCCCACTCCCCTCCGCAGGCCTCCAACTTCCGCTTCAGCCCGTCGACTATCGTTCCGTTGGCGTTCTCGACCTGGCCGTTCGTCTGTGGGTACCCGACCGACGCATAGCTGTGCTTGATTCCCCAGCTCCCAAGGAAGTCGTTAAAGGGCTTGGACTCGAATTGTGTTCCAATGTCTGTGATTACGTGCTCGGGAACGCCGAAGCGGCAGATGACTTGCTTTGCGAGAAACTTCTGGCATTGAGCTCCAGTGATGCTTGCCAATGGGGCCGCTTCCACCCACTTGGTGAAGTAGTCAATGGCTACAATGACGTAGCGCACGTTCCCGGTACCTCTAGGAAGCGCACCCACGAGGTCCACCCCCCACTGCGCGAACGGGATAGCTGTGCTGATGGGGGTATAGTTTGTTGAAGGCCTCCCTGGTACCTTCTGGAACTCTTGGCACACCTTGCACTTTCTCACAAACTCCGCGCAGTCCTTAACAATTGTTGGCCAAAAATATCCTTGGAGGGTTATCTTCCTTGACACCGCGTAGGCTCCTTGGTGGGCGGAGCAGATCCCCGCGTGCACCTCCTCCATGACTTGCTCCGCTTCAGCTGGTCAGAGGCACCTGAGCAGCGTACCGTTGTATGCTCGCTTGTATAGCTTTTCGCCCTCCAAAGTGTACCCAGGTGCCCTAGTCCGGACCAACTTGGCCTTTATTGCATCGTCCGGGAGGGCGCCATCCTTCACGAAGGCAACTATGTCGTCCATCCAATCTCTTGGCCGAGCACAGATCATCACCACGGGGAAGGCATGGATGCTCGGCTCGGACAACTCTTCCACGTTCACCGTCCGCCTGATGTGCTCGGGCGTGTCCGAGCTCAGCTTCGACAAGATATCCGCCTCGGCATTCTTCGCCCGAGGGATCTGCTCCACACTATACGCGGTGAAACTCTTAAGTAACTCTAGAGCGGTATCTCTGTACTTCTTCATTCTTTCGTCCTTCGCCTCGAACTCTCCCGAGACATGGCCAACCACTAGCTTTGAATCACACTTTACCCTTAGCTTTGTTGCGTTCATCCCAGCTGCTAGGCGTAGCCCGCACAAGAGCGCTTTATATTCCGCTTCATTATTTGATGCCTTGAAACAGAATCGAATAGAGTAATATGCTCTGAAGCCTTCGGGCGCGATGACTACCACTCCACCCCCCGAGTTTTTGGCGGCGGAGGAGCCGTCGGTAAAAACTATCCACCAGTCGTCGGCTTCCGGCTCTTCAAGGCTCGGCTCCTCCCGAGCGGTGCACTCCACCACGAAGTCAGCTAGCGCTTGGCCCTTGATCGCTGGCCTTGGCTTGAATTCGATCTGGAAAGCTCCAAGGAACACCGCCCATTTGGACATGCGCGAGGGCGCGTTCGGGCTCCTGAGCAGCGCACCTATGGGTTGTTGGGAGAGCACTTGAACCGGGTGAGCTTGGAAGTAGGGTGTTAGCCGCTGCACAGTTGAAACCACTGCTAGGACCGTCTTTTCGGCTACTGAGTACCTGAGCTCGGCACCTCTCAGCGTCTTCGCCGTGTAATATACCGGGTGCTGAGCTCCACCTTCTTCTCGGACTAGGACTGAGCTTAGTGCATTGGGCGACACTCCCAAGTAAAGATATAAGGTTTCTCCGGGCTCGGGTTTAGCGAGGATCGGCGGAGAGAGGAGATAAGATTTCAGAGACTCAAAGGATTGCTGGCAGTCTTCCGTCCATACGAACCCTCGGGACTTCTTCACAGCTTGGAAGAATGGAGCGGCTCGATCCGCTACCTTGGAAAGGAAGCGGCTGAGCGCAGCCAACTTTCCGGTCAAGCGCTGCACCTCCTTGACATTTCGTGGAGCTTCCATGTCAAGGATGGCGCGCACCTTCTCGGGGTTGGGCTCAATACCGCGCCTGCTCACCATGTGTCCCAAGAACTTACCGCCTTGAACTCCGAACGTGCACTTCTTCGGGTTCAGCCGAAGGTT